GTCTCTACTAAAAATACAAAAATTAGCTGGGCATGGTGACGCATGCCTGTAATCCCAGCTTCTAGGGAGGCTGAAGCAGGAGAATCACTTGAACCCAGGAGACAGAGGTTGCAGTGAGCGGAAACCGTGCCACTGCACTCCAGCCTGGGTGACAGAGTGAAACTCTGCCTCAAAAGAAAAAATAAAAATAAAAAGTAAAATAAACTCAGTATCATCAATAATGGGATAAGGCAACATTACATGACTAAAGTAATGCAATGAATAGGAAGAACATGTTATACAATATCCTTAGTATTCTTGTAGTATTATGTAGTATTCTTGCAAAAAGGCTTACTGTGAATCTAATTATAAAGAAACATTCAAAGAGACCCAAATTGAAGGATATCCTACAAGACAATTTGGATTCTTCAAAAATGTCAATGTCATGAAAAACAAAAAGACAGGAAGACCATTCTAAATTAAGAAAGAATCAAGAGACATGACAACCAAATACAATCAGTGATCCCTCATTCAATCCTGAATCAGATATTTTTTTAAAGTTGTAATGGAAAACATAGGGATATTTAGAGAAATGTAATTATGATCTGTAGTCTACATAATAATATTGCATTTTTATTTCTTGGTCACTTTGTAAAACAGGTGGCAGTTTCTCAGAAAGTTAACAGAATTGCCATATTATCCAGCAATTCCACTCTTAGTATGTACCCTAAAGAATTAAAAGCAGTGATTCCAATACTAGTAAACCAATGTTCATGGCGGCATATTCACAACAGCCAAAGGCTAAAACATTCCAAATGTCTATCAGTAAACAAAATGTGGTCTATCCATATAGGAGAATATTATTCAGCCTTAAAAAAAGACTGAAATTCTGAACATGTGCTACAACATGGCTGAACCTTAAAAACAATATGCTAAGTGAAGTAAGCCACACATCAAAGGACAAATAATGTGTGTCTCAACTTATATGAGGTAATTAAAAGAGGCAAATTCACAGACAGAAAGTAAAACTGAAGTTACCAGGGGGAATGGGGAGCTATCATTCAATGGGTACAGTTTCTGTTGGTGATGATGAAGAAGTTTTGGAAATGGATAGTGGTCACGGTTACACAACACTGTGAATGTACGTAATGCCACAACTATATACTTTAAAATAGCCAAATAGTAAATTTTATGTATATTTTACCACATTTTAATTTTTTGTTGTGTTTTAGAGACAGTGTCTCACTCTGTCATCTAGGCTGGAGTGCAGCAGTGCAATCATGGTTCACTGCAGCCTCTCAAACTCTTGGGCTCAAGCCATCCTCTTGTCTCAGTCCCCTGAGTAGTTGGGACTATAGGCACACACCAGTATGCCCAGTTAAAAATTTTTTTTTTTTTTTTTGAGATGGAATCTCTCTCTGTCGCCCAGGCTGGAGTGCAGTGGCACGATCTCGGCTCACTGCAACCTCTGCCTCCCAGGTTCAAGCGATTCTCCTGCCTCAGCCTCCC